TATGCTAATAGATATAAATATTTAGCTATGCTTAAATACACAGATGAATTAAAATCAACAACCCTCTGAACAAATAACAGTTAATCAATAATTTAATAACAAAATTGTTTGAAAGTTATGTTAATAATAGCAGGTCTAATGTTTTCATTACTGATACATAAGTGCCATAGAGATACAACGTGTTGAACATCCATTATTCACATTTTTGGACATTATTTTCTATAATAAATTAGTTTTTAGTTGCATTTTGCCCTCTTTATAAAATATTATTTTTTATTTGTGTTTTTCTGATGAAATATAAATTTATTTATAACATTCAGTTCATATTTATTATCTTTAATTAAAATCTTTATAGAACTAATTTCTGTAATTCACGAATGAACTAGAATATAATTTTATGTTAAAATAATTGTTATAATTTTTATTTTACAATTATTGTTAAATAATTGACTAGGTCTAAAATAGTCTTATTGTACAAGGCATATACAGAATATAGTATTACAGTATATCACATGAAATAATATGATTTCCATGAATACAAAAGTGCATTTATGAAACATGACTATAATTATAATTATAATGCTGATGACTTGTAGGGTGGAGGTGACGTGACCTGGGTGATCGACGATTTTAACGCCGATAAGAATGCTTCATATCTACCGCAGACAACGATCGGACCATTCATATCAGTTCGCACCGGACAACAGGTGGAAGTGATTGAATATAATCTCCAATCTTTGCCCGAATACTGTTTGGTTCGAGTGATTGGCACTCAGGACTCAAACAACTCGATTGCGAGCGAAGGTGTTGTTCCTCTTTATTGTCTTCGATTCCCTTCCCGATCGGCCGCCTTCTCCTCAAAGTCCGCTTCAATGGAAACCGACGGTAATTATTGTCTCTTTATATTTGTTTGAGTCTTCATTACTGACAACTCAATCATTAGGAAATGAGTCCATGAAATGTGTGAAAATTGTATACAGTATTCATTTTGATTGTTAATAAGCAGTTATTTTTATGATGAATAAAGTCTCTGAAATCTAAAGCCATTCAAGTGTTGTATAGAAACAATGGATTCACTTTACTGTCGCCCTCTTGGCTTCTCATAGAGAATATTCTTGGATATTATGTTTGATTATAGAGTAGTGTTGTATGAAGTATATACAGTACTATATAGTAATGTAGTGCAGAATACAGTATATTCTGTATATAGAGTTTTTGTTAGCAGTAGTGCTGTAGAGTATGTGTGTTAACGCATACATAGTATAGATGTCTGAATATGAGATATTAGTGAAACCACTGATGGAGTGAGTCGTCGACGTTGTGAAGCATTAGAGTCTGTAGGTGTTAGAAGATTATGCCTATCGGTCAGCCATTTTCGTGTCAAAACAGATACTCTTTTAATAACCGGTAGAGCAGATCATTTGACATGAATGTCAAAATAAAAGACCTTATTTTCTAATTTAATTTACATCATTAAATGGATATACTATAGAAGAAATGCTCACTTAAATTATCACTCATTTTGTTTGTGAGTCGATCCATGTTCTGCTGTCCAGGCATTCATATCTGCCATTCAAGGCATAGCCATAATGTTAATGAAAGTATTGATATCTCTCGTCTCAAAGGTACTGATTATTATTATTTTCTCATTTATTTATTGTATTTAAACAATACAATTTCCAAACAGTTATCTACTCATAAATAATTGCTAATCAATTACTCCAAAAAGTATTTCCTTAAATGACACTTCACCGCATTTTCGCATTATTATTACTATTACTGCCATTCATTCAAATAAATACTACCTTTACTATTCTCATTTATTTCTTAAATAAATATTTTCTAATTCATTAATACATAATTACTTTATATCTATTTTCAAATGTTTTCCAATTAACATTATTTGTTAGAAAATTTCAAGTAAATTACATATACATTATAATTGTCATGTATTTAATTGTATGGTTTGCTATGATTTGAAATATTGATAGACGTGACGACCGTTTGCAATGAATCGAGTCCTTCGTTTAGTATTGAGAGCAGCAGTTCCACCAAAAGAAAGGGTACATTCAAGAAATGGCTCACAAATCCTGTTAGAAAATTAAGTTCTGGAAAACTGGACAAAACATCAAACAGTAGTAATGAATCTCCAAAGTCTGGGGGAAAGAAGTCATCACTTTCTGTCACTTCTTGGAAGGTATGTCTGCAACCAAGCATTTAAGCCAATTATTTGTCTAATCGCTGATTATAATTGTAGGCAAACAATAGTAAAGACGAATCCAATAAAGTGTTGACGAAATCTGCAGATTCTATCGGTTTAAACAAATCAAGTTCTGTGTCTCTGCCGACCACTCCATCACTGGTCGCACAGACATCTAAATCACTGGATCTCAACGGATGTGTAGTGAATGTTACAGAAGAAGATGGAGACGTGACTGACGTAGAGTTGCCGCCGCCCATGAAAATACAAGAACATACATATCCTGCCGTCTCTTCTCTATCAGCTAATCCGGCGAACGTTGATATCACACAAAATGTATGATTTATATACAATCCTATGCTTTATTCAATTTGTTTGAATTATACGCAACTAATGACTCAAATAATTATAATGATTAATAGATTGAAAGCATGATATCGTCGGTAGATTTGGGAACTTCTGATTTAGAGTTCATCGTCAATATACAAACGGTTTGTTTTATTGATTACTAATTTGTGGAAATAATAATTTTACGGAAAGAGAAAATATCTAAAATTAATGCATTTATGGTTTACTCAGGAAACGAGTGAAGAGCTATCAACAAATGGTATAAATAATGAATTGAGTGAACGGAAGGATCCAAACGATGGCACTAATGACGAGATGAACGAAGAAACTGATAATTCAATTACTGAAGAGTCGGAACGAGAGAAAGCATTAATCAAACGAAAGTTTATATTACAAGAACTCGTGGACACCGAAAGGGATTATGTGTTCAATTTAGGTCTTGTCGTCGATGGATATCTGGAACTAATGAGGAATGAGACCGAAATTGCAGTCCCGGAAGACCTTAAGAATGGAAAAGATAAGATAGTATTCGGTAATATAGAGGCCATATACGAGTGGCACAGGGATTCGTTTTTGGCTGAGATCGACAAGTGCTTAGAAGAACCCGAGAGACTCGGACTCCTATTTAGACGATGCGAGCGAAGGCTTAACATGTATGTCGTCTACTGTCAGAATAAACCCAAATCAGAACACATTGTTTCCGAACATTTGGACACTTTCTTCGAGGTATTTATCATTTTGAAGAATTAGTCTTAAATTATAGTTGAAATAAATATATAAATATAACAAAATGTGATTTAATAGGAGATTCGCCAGAAGTTGGGACATAAGCTTCAATTGCCTGATCTGCTTATAAAACCAGTTCAGAGAATAATGAAATATCAGTTGTTGTTGAGAGATATGCTGAAGACTACGGAAAAGGCCGGACTCAGCAAAGAGGCCGAGGATCTGAAGAAAGCGGTGCACATCATGCATGTGGTGCCCAAAGCGGCCAATGATATGATGTGCGTCGGAAGACTTCAGCACTTCGACGGTAAGATCACTGCTCAGGGAAAGCTTCTACAGCAGGGGCTACTGTCTGTGGGCGAGTTGGGCTCCGGGAGCAGTGGCGGCGGCAGTAGTATTAATAATTCAAGCATTGGCTCAACAAAACTGAAAGAGAGACAAGTCTTCCTTTTTGAACAAATCATTATATTCAGTGAAACGGTTGGACAAAAGGGACCTTTCTCCAATCCCGTGTATTTATATAAAGCACATCTAATGGTCAACAAAATGTGTCTCATCGACAAAGTGGATGATTCGGACCCAACAAAGTTCTTACTCAAGTCCAAGGATCCAAATATGTCTGAAATTGCATTCCTATGTCAGGGCTCTAACAAAGAGGTGACAGACGTTTGGGTGACAAACATTAGAGCCATTCTCGACACTCAACTCGACTTTCTTAGAGCTCTTCAGTCACCCATCGCTTATCAGAAAGAGTTAACAAAAGAAGTGTAAGTTTTAGAGGTTTGCATACTTTGACAGATATATGGAACTGATGTTTGTGTTATTTATATGGATAGTTCTGCACCAGAATTGGGATCTCTATGGAACCCATCGTTGAGGAAAACACTGTCACATCCGGCGGCAGTACATCGCGAGAAGAATCTGAAATCGACGACAAAAGAGCAGCCGTTGGGCTCAACAGTGACTTCTAAATCGATGCGTCAGTCCAACAAAACCAAGAATAAGACGTTCTTAGCGGTGAATAATGAGTGCGAGAGTGTTGTCATCGAAACCAGCTGTGAAAGTGACTCGACCACCACCACTACCACCACTTACCACTCATCTCCCGACCCCTCAAATCGCAAGTATTCGTGTCCGTCGTCTGATAAGCCGCCGACTCATTCACATAAACAGCAGTCGAGTAGTCCATCGAAGTCTAAGCGAACCTTTTTGGAGGGCTTTAAGAATCCGTTGCGACAGAAGAAGACCGACACGAGTATAGTCGTGAGCAGTGAGTCGACCGTCACATCTAATCTACTCTCTAGTCATAGTCTCGACTCTTCAACCGGTGCTCAAACCAGAAGCAAATTGGAAGCGCAGACCAAAGACAGTTCAGTGATCAGGAGGTGGTCTGAATCGGCCACTCCTCTCATCAACACTACTCCACAAACCATTAGTAATACAAATAGTTTGCAATCGAATAACAAAACCGATAATAATATTACCGGTAATATTACCGGTAATACCACTAATAATAACGACAATAATATTAATAGTTCTCATGTATCGACACATTCAAAACAATAGTTATTTTCACTTTCACTCCATATATTGCTATTATTTATAGTTATTTCGTATTTTGAATGATCTCTACAACGGACTCATTATATTGTTCTCCAAATCATAATAACTTTTCTCTAAAAAATGGTTTATATTTTTATTATTTAGAAACCAATGACAGATTGTTTGGTATTTCAAAATAATGTCTTTTCGATGAAATATCAAACAAATGAAGAGCCATTGACTCTAATTGTCATATTGTCTCATATATTGATAAATGCTGTGATCTAACGATGAAAGTCATATTAATACTAAATTATACTTATATTTGATTTCTTTATTCCATTTCCTATACCGTTATATCACTTATCACTTCAATTCCCATTCATATTTCAATTTATTCCTTGTTTTTGACTAAATAATTAGCTATTGTTTCAATGAAATTAAACAAAAAATTATGAATTTTTTAAATATTATTAATATATTTATTATTATAAACCGCTATTTATATGAAACAGATTTTTAATTATTAATAATTATTTTAAATTATTGTTATATTTTGAATATAAGTTATAAGCTATTTATGTATGAATTTGTGGATCAAATTCCAATACATTCAAAACAGGTGTCGATGGCCTCTACCTCTCATTTCATATCTTTTATATCAAATCTATATTTTCATTTTAAATACAAAATTGACTCAAATGTTCACATATTTTGCATATTTCCCCGAATTTTTCACATGAAATGTGCCATTTCTGAAATCTATATCATATTTGATTGTATTATCTTTTTTGATAATATTATCAATCGATTAAGACTTTGATTCATTATTTTAGTCATTTAATGCCATATTTCGTATGTTTTCAAAGAATAAGTTAACTTATGTTTCATTTCTGATTTGAGCCAATTTTGAAATTTTATTACAAAATTGTTAAAAACTTATGACAACTATTTTGTGAGCATTTTCTCATTGGTTTGAAATGCGTTTAACAAAATGTTATATTTTCTCGTTTTACCGAAAGTGCGATCAAAAAATGTATTGAAATAAAGTGTAAATTATTGAATCATTGAATGTTAAGCCATCACATCGTTGTTATAAATGTGTTCTCATTATTAGTTAAGCTCTCAATCACTGGATATACTGTATATACCGTACGAGAATTGAGTACATTTTCACCAATTCTCATGTCTTTTCAGTCAACTATTGTTTCAATAATTCATTTAATTGATGATAAATTTTCAAATATTTTTGTCGAAAAATATTCAAAATCACTTAAACCTAATGACATGAGAATGAGTGAAAATAATGAGATTTTGAACACAATCACAATCAGTGCTCAAATTATTTTCAAATATTATATAATATGAACTAATTTTGAATTTGTTTTCTCTTCAAATGAATCCCAATTTTGGATCTTTTTATACGATATGCAAAGTTATAATAAGAGAGTAATTAATGGTTATAATTGTAAATAAATTAAATGTATATAAATATTGAATATATGGAACAACATTGTAATTAAGTTGTAGTAGAAATTGAATGGAAATAATAATAAAGTGTTAATTAATGAATAAATTAATAATAAGTTAGAACTGCATTCCAATCGTGCGGTCCTTTTGGCAATATTTATGTTTAATGTACTTAAATATATTATTATTGAATAATGTGCTTATATTAAATAAATTTATTGTTTACTATTCATATGAATATCTATTCTTTAAATCAAATTCATTTTGCATCACTTATTCAATACATACATACAGTATACTCTGTATTGTCCAATACATGCTAATCAATGGCAGTCAATCGTATGCACAATAATTTAGCATTAAATTCAGCAATTACAAGTCAGTACTACTCGCATTAAAACATAATACTGTATTAACAGTAATATTAAATTCTACTAATATAATACTGTATTTATCTATTTATTTATTTCTAACTTATCATAAATTTTTGGTACAGTATATGAATGATAAATATTTGTATTCATAGGTTAACTAAGTTTTGTGTTCATTGAATGTTGCTTAGTTCAAATAACAATTCATTAATGTTGATTTATTATTTATCAATATTTAATATAGAATTTGTTGAATATTCCGATGAATTAGTCAACAAAGTTAGTGATTTTGTTTTTGCGATATTTAAATAATAAGTTAGAACTGCATTCCAATCGTGCGGTCCTTTTGGCAATATTTATGTTTAATGTACTTAAATATATTATTATTGAATAATGTGCTTATATTAAATAAATTTATTGTTTACTATTCATATTCATATCTATTCTTTAAATAAAATTCATTTTGCATCACTTATTCAATACATACAGTACAGTATACTCTGTATTGTCCAATACATGCTAATCAATGGCAGTCAATCGTATGCACAATAATTTAGCATTAAATTCAGCAATTATAGTGCATTTACAAGTCAGTACTACTCGCATTAAAACATAATACTGTATTAACAGTAATATTAAATTCTATTAATATAATACTGTATTTATCTATTTATTTCTAACTTATCATAAATTTTTGGTACAGTATATGAATGATAAATATTTGTATTCATAGGTTAACTAAGTTTTGCTGTTCATTTTTACAACGAATCAAGTTTATTGTTAAGTAATTACAACTAAATAATAAATAGTTATAAATTATATCTTAAACAACTTATAAGGCTACTTAATCAGTTGTTTCAATCACTAAAACAAAAACGCTATAAAATATTATATGTATTTAATTGATAACAAGTACAATATTGTATTTATTTGAATGAGTTTGTGGTGATTATAAATGAATAGACACTATATTTGAAAGCAATTAGACTTGAGATCATTATAATTGTGTACAGAATCTGTACTAAAATGAGTACAAAGTTGACAATCAAGTGATGTATTAGTGAACGTAATTGTTGTGAATGTGTGACTGAATGGACTGAATGGGCGAATGTGTGTTGAAAGCAGTGTTTGTGTTGTGTTTGTGTTTCACAGCAATCAGTGTTTGGTTTGCTTTGACATGAAGTAGTGTTTGGTGTCGTTTGGACACAACTGCAGGCAAATGAGGTTCACTTGTCTGGAGCTATAGATACCATTGAGTGAGACAGTGATGACCACAACCATGGCTTCTTCAGATGGCATGACATATGAGTCGATGTATAGATATCTGCGAAATGCCGAGAA